TGAGGGTTCCTGTTTTTCTTTTTGGTTGTTGTCCCTCAGTTGTGAATTATTTTGACACAGATTTTGAATTAGTATCAATGTACTAAAATGTGCATGAATGTGCACGTATTGAAGTTACATTGATTGATTGAGATGGACAATAGGTGGGTGGACTTAAGATCAAAATGACCATTATTTTTTTTTAAGCTACAAGTATCAATTTTTAGGAACTATTGTTTGTGCATGTGGATACAAAGGCTTACTTTACCTTAATTTGTTGAATAGAAGTTGTTGAAAGGTAAGTAACTTTTAAATCCTCCAAAAATTATGACAAATATGTTCATTCTTAGTAAGCAGGGATGTAGACATGAACTGGTGGGAGTGGACGACATGGTTGAGCAGCAGGGCATTGCAAAAGCTGATGCCTGAGGAAATATGTCTGCTCTTTCCAGGTACCTTGTTCTTGATCTTCTCATAGAATCCCCTTATTTCTCATGTTCCAAGATGCCCATTCATTGGATTTTAGCTTTTGAAAAATGATGGTATCCATGCCTAGTTTATTGAAAGGAAGGAGGTGTTCTTTGGCCCATCATGAGGGAATTAGATAGAGTTTTGTTGCGAAAATATGACTGGTGAGGAGAATTAGGTAGCGTTTTGGTGTAAATACATTAAGACAACAGCTAAATGTCAAGGAACTTAAGAAGGTACGATTAAAGATGTCACAATGAATCACAAAAGCTAAGGATGAGCTAAGGATGTCTAGAAAGATGTGGTGGTGTAATGAGTGAAATTTTTTATGAAGAGTTGAGTCAAAGGACTATTAAGAAAACCATGTGCGTGGCTCCAGATGTCGCATAAATGAAACATAGGTCTAATTTACTTTTTTCATCGAAAATAAATATTCTTCTACTACATCGTGCATGTATATCAAATATATCGACCACTAAAATTTTAGACAACAAAAATAAAAAAATCTAGAATATTCCCATTGTTCCCTATGAACGAGATATGCTCTCCACAAAGAAAATAAATGATTAAATAATTGCTCTCCCATATCTTGGTATCTTGGTGTCCTTGGTGTCACATCCCTATCCTCAAAGAATGTGAAGAAAACGAAGAAAAGGGGAAGCCAAAAGCCAACTAGACTTTTTTGGTTGCTTATAGAACCAGCCATGTTCTTTGCCCATCAAAATTTGGCACTAACAACACTTCATATAATTCATGCATACACCTATTTTGTGTTGAAATAGTTAGTTATTGGCTCTATTATCATACCATGTTCGTACATTGTTCTTCCACAAAAATTGCTCGTTTGTTCGGTTTAAGTTTCTGTCCATTCATGTTTAATTTTCTTTTCACCTTTGATTACGTCTTAGCTTCTAAATTTCATCTATTTTGGTTTCTTTAGCTTTCATTTGTTATAATTCATAAGCTTTACACGACTTTAGCTTCTAAATTTCATCTATTTTGAAGCTTTACCCAAACTATTTTAATACTTGTCTTTCATTTTTTTTAAAATTAGTTCACAAAAATGTTGAAATGAGTGCCCGTGATGGTACACTAACCTTATGAAGTTGTATGGCCCATTGTCGAGAAATAAAATGCCTGTTAAAAATTAAAATAGAACATTTGAAAAAAAAAAAAAAAAACCTTAATATAAAATATGATATAACTAGACAACAATATTTTGTAATTAGATTTGATAAATAAGCTCATTACATTTCTATTAGATAATAAATACCTCTAATTTTTTGTTTGATGATTAATATTAATTTATAATTAATATTAATTATGGTGGATTATAATTAATTAGGATTATAAGTATGGTTTTAAGGTTTTTTTTTTTAATATGTAATTTTTTTTTAATAACACATAGTTAATACCTTTTAAATTTTATTTTGTGGGGGTGAGTTAAGCATAATGATTGACATAGTGGGTCATCCAATATTTCGTGAAAAAAAAAAAAACAAAAGAAATCTCCTAATTTGATGTTTATAATAACAAATAATGTTAATCCATCGAATAAATTTTCGTTGATGAGTCGATATTTTTATTTGTTCATAAATTTGATATTAATATAAGAGACAATTGATATTTTCGTTATATCTAAAAAAATTTAAGAAGCAACAAATTGTTAAATAAAATAAAAATAGTTCAATTTGGATTTTTTTTCTAATGGTAAATATTTAAAATTTTAAAATAATTTGCAATAAGGAAATAAAATTTGAAGTAAAATTATGAAAGGAGGAATATAAAATGTAAAGAAAAGAATGTAATAATATTATAATATATTTATTTAGAGAAATTTGAGGGAAATATAATAGCTGATTAAAATAGGTCTTTAAAGTAAAGTACGTGCACGTGCAACTTGACATATCAAATATTGAAGCACGTGCCGAAACTTCTTTTGTTCGTACAATCCACAATCAATCTAGCCACCAACACCAAGTGTTTTGTTTCAGTGTAGTGTTAACATAGAGATTTACCTTTTTACCCTCCTTCGCTAACTAATTTGTTTCTAATTTCTTTACTATAATTTCCACATTTGAAAAAAAAAAAGAAAATTGAATTTTCTAGTCAAATTCTAAAACCAATTAGAAACTTTATATATATAATTTTGTAATTTTGTGAATTTTTAAATCGATCTAATTTTTAATTTTATGTCTAATATGACGTTAAGATCCAAAATTGAAAGTTTAAAAAGTCATCATACACGTTTAAATTTTATAAATGAAATAAAAAAGAAATAAAACTCGAAAGTTCATTATAAAATATAGCATAAACATGTGTTATATCACGGATCTTATTAAAGACATATTCTATATCAACAAAATTCTACACTACTATTGATCTGACATTGATCTGTAGATAATAAAAATAGTCACCCGATTGGTCGGAGTTTTCCAAATGTCCTATCACCTACCCTTCTCCTTTTCAAGTTTGTCACGGGTTAAAACAAATGCAGAGTTGAAAAGATACAAACGTAAATTCAATATAGATTTGAGTATAACCCAATAAGTTTAAAATATTATATATCTCAAACCGAAAAATATTATCCAAGATTTAATTATTCGGTCTTTATTAAAAAAAAACACAAAGGAAAATAGCTGTCAAAGAAAAAGAAGGAAAAATAAAAATGACCCAATAAAAATTGGTTTTCTTAATATTAGAAATTGAAAATGAATAAAATAATAAGTAGTTTGTGGTCTACAATATTGAAGCGTCACACATTGCTATACACTAATATTAAAAACTATAATAATAGTGGTGAAATATATTAGGGATAATGTTCCCTACAAAATAAATAATTTCTTTCTCTGAGTGTTTGATCTTATCAAAGATATTTTTTTTAAAAAACGATATTTTAATCCTTTTAAAAAAAACAATTATAAACTATTTAACAGAGATTTTTAAATTTAACTTAATTGTACTAAAAAGCACGAGCATCTGGTCAAACATAAGTTAATACAAATATCTAGAGAGAGAAAAAATTAAGATCTAAACCGAGACAAGTAGTAATTTTACCGAAAGTAACTTTAACTTTTACCCTTCTCTAACTTTTCATGGTAATTACTATTATTTTTATAATAAAATTATAATTATCTTATTTTTATAATAAAATTATAATTATCTTATTTTTATAACATGTTTTGATGTGATACGTTGGTAAGTTAGAAAATTGATGGGTAAGGTATGAGTGCAATAGGTCACATCATCCAATTCTTCCCATACATTTCAATATGATTGCAACTCTATACCTAATATGAAATGATCAACTCAAATCATGAACCATTCATTCATATATATATATATATATATATATATATATATATGAATATATAATATGTATATAGATATATATAGATATATAATATGTATTGATTTTAGGTGACTTGAACACTCATGGTGTTGTTCATGTGTTTTGGATTCTTATGAATGTTACTCATGAGTATTATTTCTTTGCACCCGTTTCCCCTCCATAGCTAAATCTAGAATGTTTGATCAATTATTGATACGGGAGATAAGAGTTTATGTTATTTTCGTTCAATTATTCAATAAACTTTACCTTTTTATTATTCACACTTTACTTAAAACGTTTTTTCACTAAAAAGTTTACTAAAAGGAATGTGAATAGAAAAAAAAATTATCGTCCAATGGGTGACTTTCGAGTCAAATTGATGAACATTTATATCTTTGAGCATGAGAAGCTTGTGATATTTGAGTAAAGGAGGGATACATGACTGAATTGGAACCTCATCTGAATGAGAGCTATCCTGATGGTAGAATGGCTAAGAAAATCTTAAAAAAATTAAAAAATAACTACATATGCCAACATGGTGCATGGTGCACCTTCTTGTTCAGTGACTCAATCAAAGAAATTCTATAGTTATGGTCGAACTCTTGAAAATTTTTCTGGTAACATAACCATGTTGTAGGAGAATGTCAGAGCTATTAAGTCCGGAATATGAATTCTGAATCCTTATTTGGTTCCTACGTATGAATCAATACAAAGCTGGATTGAAGGAGAAGAATACTAAGAAGGAGAGCATGAGACACGGTAGTGAATGGATTCAGAATCGTGGTCTGCACCAATTCACTTAAACTAAACAAACGTGGTTAATGCATAAACATCGAGGGATCGAGGGGTCTATGAGGAGGATTCTTGATGCATAAGAAAAGAGAGAAAAGATTTTCATTCAAAGGAAGGGTCAATACATTGTTAGCCCTTTTTTTAAAATTACTCAAAGATTTGGACTTTGTGAACATTAAAGTGAATGGAATCTTACAAAATGTCCCACACCCTTCATAAGTTGATAGCCAAATTGGATACTCATCTTTCCCAACAGTACTCTTTTCCCATTGATAAAAGGCTTAAAGTACCAAAGTATTAGCTATGAATATGAACCCTAGCTTTTAACCCCCTTGCGTCATCATCTTTTCTATGTATAAATATTTCATATGAGGGCGAAGTAGCTTTCTGAGGGGGGTTTTTTGGTATGGAAAGAAGAGCAATTTCTAAGATGAGCTTCATTAATGGAAGCTTATCTGAGAAAACAGTCTTTGGGTGCAACAATAACAATGATACGAGGGAGAAGAGAGAGGCTTGTGATCACCGTCGTCAATTTCTTGCTCGTTGCTCTACTACGGATGATTCTTCTGAGCTGAGTATTTTTGATGCCAAGAAATATTTCAATGAAGTTTCAACCAACAATACCAACAAGGTTTCTCCTGTGACAAACATCGAGTCGATGTCGGAGTCAGAGGAGTGTAACGGTCATTCAGTAACGTCGTCTCAGGACCAGGATTTTGACCAAGATTCAGAGTTATCAAAATCTAAACCCTGGATGTGTGGTGTTGTTACACATCCATCGTCTATGATGCTTTCTAAATTCTCCCCCACTCTTGACTCCATTGATGGATATCATCGTCGGAGCTATCGAGCTAGATCTTTTCGTTCTACAACACCGACGGCCTCGTCTGAGGCTAGTTGGAATAGTCAGACAGGGTTGCTCTCAAACCCTCCAGGAGCTATCTCAGTGTCAGTTTTGCGTGGAGATACGAATCATCATTCTGGGAGAAAATCTCATAAGCCATCATCGTCGTCATCTACAACAACAAGATGGATTTTTAGAAGCTCTAAATGCCCTTGTACGGGGAAGAAGTCGATTCAAGTTCAGGAATCTAAGGTGGTACTAGAGCCAAAAACAAGTCCTCCTTATACCAACAATAACACTACCGTTGGTAGCCGTTCTCAGTCGGAGTCTTCGTTGTCCGAGAAAACCTCAGGTGCAAACAAAATACTTTTGCAACAATCAGATAACAGCGTCGTTTGGAGCACTCAAAGACGCTTTCCTCCAAATTTGCTTCTTCAAGAACACACAACACAACGTGTAATAGCCTCCACAGGTTTCACTTTCCCTATCTTGAAAAAAAACGCCAACAACAATGAAGATATTCCAACTAGATCCATAAGTCATGTTTTAATCGAAGATCCACCTCGAGATTCTTTAGAAGTTTTCAAACCAAGCACCACTAGAGATTGTGGCAATAATGGTGGTGGTGGTAGTCTAAAATCACGAATTTTAGCTAGTGTGGCAGCATCCGGTGGTACTGCCACTATTGTCAACGATGTTGATGATGTGGCGAGTGATGCCAGCTCAGACTTATTCGAAATTGAAAGTTTCTCCGCTCAAACTGTCAACACAGCTACTGCCATGTTCCACCGACGAGACTCGATGGAACTAGAAGCAAGAAAACTAGGTTTGGCCCTTGCAGGCACACGTCGCAGCCTCGATGAGCCAATGACACCATCAACTGACTGGTATGAGCCAAGTGAGGCAAGCATAGACTGGAGCATTACCACAGCTGAAGGCTTTGATCGAGCAAGCATCGCAAACATGTCAGAGACCGAAGAGCCCTGGATAGAGAAAAACAATAACAACACCAGCAATAACAACAACAGAAGAAGATCATCATCGGGAAATGGGCTGTTAAGTTGTCGGTCAGAGAAGGCGGTCAGTGTGGGCCCACAGCCGTTGACTAAGCATGTGGGGAGTAGGCCACCATTGGCAAAAAAGCCACCACTAGCAAGGTCTAATTCAGCTCACCTCTCTCTTACTTTTGCTGCCTGATTTGGGAGCACTCTCTCTTGTGTTTGTGATGGAGGATGATACACAATTTCTCTCCACCAACCTCTCTCCCAACACACCATTTCTTGATTTTCTTATCTTGTCTCTTCAATTTTTCTTTTCTTTCCTTTTTCCCTCTTCATTATAGTGCTCTGTCTCTCGAATAATTGTTTGGGCCATTAGTTTGGTGTACTTGTCATTCAAATATTTTACTTCCTACATCGTATAAACTCACTTTACATCTACTTTGGTAGTTTTGTGCTTTCCTATTTGTAAGCTTAACAAGTAAGCATATCTTTTCGTGTCGAGTTTTCTTTAAACCTCGACAGAGATAGAGTGGTGTGTTGGGCGATCTTGGTAAGCCTAATCCGAGAACCTCTTGCTCTCGAACAAAGTAAAAACCAATTTTCACAATCTTTCGAGTACGAGTTTTTCTTCTATAAGTTCCTAATTTTTCTAAATTTTCTAATTTACCCTGTCCTTTATGTTCAGTGAGTTCATATAAAAAAAAAAAAAAAGACAGATATGAGTTCATTTGTAACAATCCAAGCCTACCACTAGCAGATATTGTCCTCTTTGGGCTTTCCCTTTCGAGTTTCCCCTCAAGGTTTTTAAAACGCATTTGTTAGGTAAAGGTTTCCACACCCTTATAAAGAATGCTTCGTTCTCCTCCCCAATCGATGTGCAATCTCACATTTTTCATCTTTTAAGGATAATTTGTCGCTCTTAACCACTCAAACTTCATCAAGACAACATGAATTGGTTTGGAGGGGTTCATCTATGATTCATCTCCTGAAAATGCTACAATGAACTGTAAAATCCAAATTCATAAGTTCAATTACGCCAAGTTGAAAGCATATCATAATTGTCTCAAGACACCAATGCTATATAAACTTTAATAACAACCATTAAGGGGTTCCTAAAATCCATCAAAATTATCAACCATCATTGTAAAGCTCTTAAAACTTAAAACACTGACAATAATTACAACGTACATCCATTAAAAACAGAAGTAATCAATTCAAGAGAGCCAAATTATGTTCACAGATTGAGAATCTAGTAAAAAAAAATTGCTCCCAAGCTGAGAATCTAGCAAAAACAAGTTCAGAAACCAGCCCTAATTAGCACACAAATCACTCAGGGAAAGAACAAATCTTAATCTACGCCAACAGTGCGAAGGAGCATAAATTCGCCCAGATAAACTGATGAGTAGAGGCAACAATGCGTGAAAACTAGGGCGAACTGCAAATTGATTTAACGAAAGTGGAAAAAAAAAAACAAAGATGAACAGAATGCAGCAAGAAGAAAGGAAGGATCGGTTGAATGAAAACTTGGAGTCGAGCTCGGCAGATTATTATACATCAAAACAGGTTTCGAGCTTACAAAAACCTATAAATCCTTGCAGAATGCAATAATCTCAGTTTTTTTCTGTAGTATAAGATCAATAATCCCTAACCTTAAAACGAAACAACGAGAATCGCCATTGTTGTTTTCTACTAACTTCATTTTTTTATTTTTTTTTAATTACAGAAGGAACACACAAAGGAAGCGAGCGATGAATGAAACAGGAAAGAAAAACGAACCTGAATGATCGATTTTTCAGAAGAAGAAGAAGATGAAGAACTCGAGAGCTACCGAAATCAGGATCGAACATTCAGAAATAAAGAACGAGAGCGATGAAATTGAGAGCTCAATCCAATCGAATCGATTATGATATTTTTCGTTTGTTTTAACTCGTTTTTGTCTGATTTTCGATTCGATTTCAACGGAGTAGAGGTACTTTACGGAAATCATAATCGAAAATCAGACAAAAACAAGTTAAAAACATACGAAAAATATCATAATCGACTCGATCTTGATAGTGGCCGGATCAATCTTCAAGTTTGTATTGAGTCCAAGATAAAATGAAAGCAATCAATTTGTTGAAATCGAAGTTATCTAAATCATTTCTTTGAGTCGATGATTCATATGAACGCATTATTATAATTTTTGTATAATATCTCGAGTAAGTAATTAAATTAAATTTAAAAAAAAAAAAAAAAAAAAAAAAAAAAGCTTTATTATGAATGTTCAATAAATGTTAGTAATATTTTCTGCTGCCACTCCCGCTCGAACCACGTATCACCGTATTCCAATATTGGAAGCCATAACCCGGCGCCGCCCCTTTGACTTTTACAGATCCTACAATTTTGGCCGTTTCAACACCTGTAAACGCTTGTAACCTCCCTACATTGATGGTTATGGGGCAATTGATGATCTGCAGGTTTCTCAAAGTTTCGATCGATCCGTCAAGCCATTCAGGTAATTCATCCACTCCTGGAAGCTCTCTGATTGTGAATCTCTGAAGCCTAAATTCGGCGTTCTCTAAGGTGAGTGTTAGTTGCTTGCAGCCCCAGATAACCAAATTCTGTAGTGATTTTAGATGTATCATCTCATTTGGCAACGATTTCAAAGTATTGCAATTGTAAATCATTAGGGTTTCAAGGTCTGCAAGGCACTCTGGCCGTTCGAATAGAATTTTTAGGTTTTTGCACCCTCCAATGGCGAGAAATTGCAGAGAAGTCATGGTTCCAACTCCGTTTTTGTGCAAATAAAGCTCTTTTGTTGTTATCCACAAGTATTTCAGGCTGATCAAATTCCTTATATCAGTTGGCAATTCTTTAAGTTCGGAACAAGATTCAAGAATCAAGGTTTGCAAACTTTGTAGATTGCAGATTGAATTCGGCAGCCGCTTGATGTTCTTATTTCCATGCAAGTCGAGGTATCTCAGGCTTTTAAGTGTTCCTATAGCATTTGGAATTTCCTCTATGTTTGCATTGCCTAAATGTAACACTCTTAAGCTGTTGTACTTCAGAATGCACATTCCAGGTAGGGATGCATTAGGTGGCACCATATCTCTTACATGGAAGGCTAGGGATTTTATTTCAGTGACTGGTTTGGTACCTACTAAGCCCTCAGACTGTTCTTGTGCGAGTACGTGTGCAAGTTTTTGGATAAGAGGGTGCAGTTTAAACCAGTAGCCGAGGCCATGTTCTTCAATTTCTTGAACGAAACATCTTGACCATAGCTCCATGAAATACTTCTCACCTATATTTTTCATAGATGCGTGATTCTCTTCAGGTGAATGGAGGAGCCCATGTGCCATCCATAACTGAATCACGTCATTTGAAGATAATATGCGGTCTGGTAATTGAGCACAATGAAGAAAACAGGGCTTCAGGTGTGAGGGCATTTGATTATAGCATAATCTGAGTATGTGTAAAATACCGTCATTCTCTTCCTTTTGTGCCCACAACTTGTCCTTGATATTCTTCCACTCAGCTATTCTAGTTTTTGAAGATAGCAAGCTTCCCATACACTTTATTGCCAATGGAACTCCCTTGCATTTCTGCAGAATTTGGTCTTCTATTCCAGTGAATTCTTCATTGTTTACTTCTTGTCTATCTCTGAAGGCATATCTTTTGAATAACTTAGATGATTTATCCTCTGACAGCCTCTCCAGTTTGAAGACTGTTGAAACTTTCTGATTCTTATCGTCCGAATTCTGCGTCGATTGTTTCTCCGACTGTTTCTCAGACGCATAGACTATTCCTAGTCCTAGAGCACCTGCAGTCTCCTCACTTTGAGTGGTCACTAAGATTTTGCTGTTCTTGTTTCCCATGCCCAATAGTTCCATCAATGTGGATGAATCGTCTAAGTTTGTGGTCGAAAGGTCTTGAATGACGAGCAAAAAAGATGTACCCTTCAGAAGATGTTGAACCTTTAAATGCAATTGTTTCTTAGTCAAGTCATTACAAATTTCTTTACAGGCTACAACACTATATACCTCTTCGATCAATCTCTGTGTATCAAAACCTTCTTTCACACAAACCCAGAATCTTGAAAGATACTGTTCAACTACTTCTTTATCATTGTAAAGGAATTTGGCAAGTGTGCTCTTACCTATACCTGCTTCCCCAACTATGAGGAAGAACCCATGAATAGATTTGAAAGTTGTCAGAAGTTCAGCATACCGATCGCCATCATAAGTCATTGGAGCATCAGTTAAGGTGTACTGCAATTGCCAACTTGGTTTCATATGTCTTACTGAAACTTCAGTAGTGCTAAGGAAGGAGTGTGCTGTCTTCCTTCTTCCTATGGAATCTGGGTGCTTTTCAGTGAGATGAAATTCATACATTCTGGCTGCTAGTGTATCCAAATGATTGCGTAGTCTCATCATTTTACGAAACCGTATAAATTTATGTGCAGAAATTGGGTGAGAGCACGAGAAAGGGGCTTGTACCTTTTTTCCAGTGCCCTCTTGTTCAAAATCCCATTTGAATTCATCCATGGTGTCCTCAATTTGGTAAAAGGTGTTTTGAAGCTCCTTAAGCCACTTACGTAGATCATGATTCTGTTCTTGTTCTTGCTTCTCTTCAGCATCAAAAAGAATTGATTTAAGGCTCAACATGGTATACTCCATTGTTTGGAAGGTTGAGCAATTTTTTAGCCTACTCAAGATAGTTTCAGCGTGGTTGTAGATGAAATTAGCCATATTCTCATGGAAAATGTTTGTTCCTCCTTGCGATTTATTGGGTTGCCCTCTTACTCTTTGAGTCTGCCTGCCTGCCTTGTCTCAGGTGTCTACAGCAGATCTGATTAGTCTCGTGACGAAGATTGGTCTTTTCCGATCTTCCACTAAGAAAATCAGGGTATCGTCACGATAACTCAATTTGCCCGATAAACTACTCAGGACTCATGGTTTAGTAAGAGGGGAGATTTACTTTTGAATCCGGGATGAATTTCTATAAATGGAGATCGTTGATATATGCACCTAATCCGTGGATTCGTTGCATTTTCATGAAGCAAAATAGCTTCAAAACTTAACTCTTAGGGAAATGTATATTCTTCCCGTGCATCCTGAAGAATAGAATAGGAGCACTCAACTCTCGCCAGGTACTTCTCTTTAGGATTATGTATTTAAGGAGTTTTGCAACTGTTTGCTTTTTATTCTAAACAAGTGGAGCCCCCATTTCTTCAAATGAACAGAGAATTCTATTCTTGCTGTGTTCTAACCTATCTGGAATGATCCCCTTCTTTCTTAGATGTAATTCCAAACTCAACTCTTGGGGAAATGTATATTCTTCCCCTTTATATTAAAGAACTGTATAGGAGGAGGGGTCTTGGTATTCTTTAAGCTATTCCTTTACAGGTTCTTACAATTTCCCCTCTTACTTCAGAGTTATTTGGTAGAACTAGACCTTCTTTATTGAAAGGAATTAATATGAGCACCCAAAATCCTATGCTTAGAGTTTGATTATCATGATTTCCAATCATTTTAAGGCTAACCAAATCCTGTTTTTGATTGTTTTGTTTATCTCAATTAGATTTACTCCAAATTAATTGACAAGATTCAAAATTTAGATGAATTTTCTGACTATTTTGTGATATTTGAACGATTGGTTGTGTTTATGTTGTAGCCACAAAGCCATTAATAAATTTCGTGGATAACTTATGAATTGCGAGCTGATATGAACTTATGAGTGATAGAAGCATTATTATATATACTACAGGGTCGTAATTACACTGCATGCACTCGACTCTCATAAGAGTCTTTATTGTGGACACATATACTACACGCCATATACAATAATAATACTATGAACCACACCATCAAAGGATTGATGATGATTATTTATATATGTATTCTGATTCAGGGAAAGGCCTTCCTGTGGTTCAAGCCAATTGCCTGGGGGGACACTCTGCTGGAACCAGACCCGCTACCACTCCCAGACCCCGACCCCGACCCCGACCCAGAAGCTGAGCCCGAACCACTGCTCGATCCACTTCCTGAGCCTCCCCCACCGCCGCCGCCGCCACCACCATTGGGCTGCTGCACAGCCGCAAGGCTGATGCTGCTGCTTATTAAGAAGATGAGAAAGCAGAAGCGGAGGTAAACCATGGATGGAGAGGCCATGAGGGAATAAGGGAATAAGGCTGAAGGGGGAGTTTGTTGTTGATATTGGTATTTATAGAGTATTGGGAGTTTGTGGGTTTGGGGCGTCTGGCATTTGTTGAGCGCGCAGATTGCCAAGGAGCCGACAATGTGTCGCCCTTTTGGGCATCGAAAACAACACGCAAATGCGCCTTAATAGTTCCCATCATCTCTTGTGCCCACTATTTTTTGTTTCCTTTCAGGGCAACTTTTTTCTTTTTTTTTCTTCGTTTTAACTCGAATTTAGAAGTTGTTAAAAATATTCATTGAGGTCATTTTTCATTAAAATGATGGATGGAAACTGATAAGACAAATCTTGTAATCTCCAATGATACTCTATTACACCTACCTATGAATGTGAGCCCTCTCAATCCAAACCAAAACAAATAGCAACGAGATGGAGGAGCGACTGACTAAAATCTTAGATCATTCAAATAATGTGAAATGTTCGTATTTATCTCTAAAGATTTTTAACATTCATAATGTTTCTCTTACATTTTCGATCAAATCCAATTTGAAATGAACATCAAACGATGTTTATGAATTATGAAACTAAACCCTAAACATTATGACTTTTTTTTTTCTGTGTGCAACATCAAACAAACAGTAAAATCAACATAATTAAATAAAAATTGAAAAAATACATAAATTTATCAATCAATCACTGTTAGGAACAGATATTCTAGCTCTATAATAATATTAAACAACATAAAAGAAGGGAAAATTTTCAATAATAATAGAAGAGTGAGAGTAGTAACTCTGAAAAATCCCACAAGAATGGAAGAGAGAAAGAAGAACTCTGCTAAGCACGCAATGTAATAAATTACCAGAATTTCTTGGTAGCTCCAGCTGTGAAGCAACTATTTTTGAGGATTAGATTCCATTGTTTGAGTTGTTGGCGGAGTAACGACAGCCAGATTCAATTCACGGGAACTGGATCCACCAGCTCTTTCACGAATCTCCCTATATTCTTGACATATAGCACAGCAATGGCAGAAAAAGTGGGTCAAGAAGTCTCCACAAGGTGCTTCCTACATCACGTTTCAGAAATTAAGATGCGGGTCATGGTTGGTAAGTTAACTCGTCGACTAAGCATAAGAAGAAACAGAATTTTAGCGAGCTGGGTTACATTATATGGCAGGGATAAAGGCATTAGAGCCAGTTCCCTGCCCTGTCCAGCGATGAACCTACAAATAAGCTACTTAATGTTTCGAAATTACTTAGGCAAGGAATGTATCAGGAGAAGGAGAAATGATCAAAGCATGATATTCTTGACAGATAGCACAGCAATGGCAGAAAAAGCCCACACAAGGTGCTTCCTACATCACATTTCAGAAGTTAAAAGATGGGGATCATGGAAACGTAACAATCGGTGAGTTAACTCATCGACTAAGCTTAAGAAGAAACAGAATCTTAGCAAGCTGGCTTACATTATATGGCAGGGATAAAGGCATTAGAGCCAGTTCCCTGCCTTGTCCAGCGACGAACCTACCAATAAGCTACTTAATGTTTCGATATTACTTAGGCAAGGTGTATATCAAGAGAAGGAGAAATGATCAATGTATGATATAGTAAGTGTAAACTGTAAATAACTTATAAGTTGAGGCATGATGGAAATAAACAATGAAAAAGTGATAAGAGTACGATATTATACTGGCAAATTGTACTTGGACCGTAGGGCTTTGCGGTAGCCACAAGCATAGCATGCAAGAAAGCATCCAGCTACATTCCACAAAGCTCCATCAGTCGATAAGCAGCAGACTGCATTCATAAGAGCCCACAAAATGAAATGAGTGGCGCACGACCCGAACATTGTTCGAGAACCCAGAAGCGCTGCATTCTTCCCAAACAGAAAGCATGGACAGCAAAGGCCAATAAAACCTGCACCCACAAAACGTTGCAATGAGCTCCCCACTTAACATAATAGAGATGGACCAAAAATGCAATGCTCTTATACTCAAATCATACTACTGTCAAAAATTAATATTCAACCTAATCATTCCACACACAAAAAAGTTCACTTCATATCATCTAAATGCTTCTTGGTTTCTGACAAACTAAAGGTGCGCAAGATCAAGTGTCCTGTTTGATTCAAATACTTCACGCCTATAATCTCTGAATCTTTATACACTCTTCAATGATAGAAACCAAGGATTCAAACTGATCAAGCAACATGTAATAGTTAGAGAACAAGCAAAATACGTAAGCCCCAAGGTAGGCAGTCTTAAGGATTTAGTAACCAAACCCACCCCTTAAACTAAATTCAAAGTTCTTCAAGCGCTAATCCCAATCATGGTGCAAAATTCAGAGGTTCCGCTTGACAGAAGTAGTTGGTTCACAACAACAAAGTGTCTAACAAAGATCTATGAACACTCAACAAATAAATGACAGTGCATACTTATATTTCACAACAGGATATGACAGATTCCCTAATGGAAACAACTGGCCTAGAATTCAAATATTTAAATTTGGATATAAGAACACATGCAAAGTAATGGTACATTTCCTTTCCATACTCAAGATGCACCTTCATAATTTTTCCTTCGCATAAATCAAGTTCAGAAGGCAGAAAGTAGCGTACAGCTTTGCATATCATCGCAGCATGCACAGATTCCAGACGACCATTGTGACAATTCATCGTTAAGTTCATTAGGTATCGGGTGGCCCTCGTCTTTGGAAATAATCTCCGCTTCTGAAACAGACTGCCCTATTGGAACATATGCAGGAGGGACATAACTCCTATGGCCATCCATCTAGCGCTGATACTCGACGTATTCCTACCAATCTCTTTCAAACGAATTCAACCTGTAAGTTTTATAAAAATTCGTCAAAATGCAATTCGCAAACCCTACACTTCACCCTCCCCTCATTTTCACATAGTTTTTACACTTTGATCCCCTAATTCATTTTGCACATTTCATCTGATTCGATGAATGTTCAATTCAAATCAGAACGTGAAACTTCATTAGCGAAATTTCAACCATAATGGGAAAAGAAATAAAGAAACAAAACAAAAAAGTAGCTAACAAGATTCAAATGAGTGAAAACAAAATTTGCAGCGACGAATCCAAACTAGTACGAACCTGTGGATCAAGTAGGAGGTGAATTTACACCGAGTGTTTGATCGTCTCGTTCACCGGAAAGGCGCGGTAGAGAATAATCGGAAGGAATGCGGATGGGATCGGAGATGAATTCGGGATGTTATTATGTCGCCGGAGTGGGCAGCTTCGAATCCTTATATATTCGTAGCTAAATCGACGACGATCAGAATTGTTTTCCACATTTTTCTTGGATTAAAATTAATAAAAATTCCTTTAAATTCTATAATTGAACTAAAAATAATAATATTACTACCGTTTCAAACCTTTTATAATATCCTTTAACTCAAAATAATAATAATAATAATAAATATTATGGGCTTGTTCCTGGGCCCAAAGTTACTGCAATATTTTGGGCTTTTTATCGCAATTTTGGATCTTATTGGGCTTAATTTTTGGACCTAAAATGGTTTTTTTTTACTTAAAAAAGAAATAAAAATAGAGATTTTTTTTTTAAACGAAAATAAAAATAGCCCAAACCCTAAAATTTAGAGTTTTTATTTATTTATTTATTTTTGTCAACATTTTTTCTCGATATTTTGACTCTACGAACCAGTTTTTTTTTTTTTTTCAGCTCCCTCCACTTATCACCGCTCTTCTGAACCATCTCTTTGGTGGTGAATTAGGGATTCCCCTGTCGACCTTGGAAAACCCCCCAACTGCACCCACTCATTGGTTTCAATTTCGTTCTTCTCTCTCGTTCGTTTACTGTTCGATTCTTTTTCTTATCTGTTCATCCTCTGCTCGTTGCGAAGGAACACAAGGACCGAGGAGAATCTGCGACTATCAGTAATCTTCTTCATTGTTGAAATTTGTCCTCCCTGAGGTTTTATCGGGGGAAGAAAATCATTGAGAGTGGAGTTCATAATTCAATACATGCCAGGTATTCGAAATTTCAAATAGGTTTTTTTTTTTTTTTTTTTTTTTTTTTTTTTTTTTTGTTGAGAATGATAGTTATGCCTACTAACATTGGGCACGCAGCTTCACTAAAATTTGGTTTTTGTTTTCAATTTGGGTGCTTAGTATTTTTAGAGCTTATATGGCTTCAATGAACTGCAAGTAAATTTTTTTTTTTTTTTTTGTTGAGAATGATAGTTATGCCTACTAACATTGGGCACGCAGCTTCACTAAAATTTGGTTTTTGTTTTCAATTTGGGTGCTTAGTATTTTTAGAGCTTATATGGCTTCAATGAACTGCAAGTAAATTTTTTTTTTTTTTTTTGTTGAGAATGATAGTTATGCCTACTAACATTGGGCACGCAGCTTCACTAAAATTTGGTTTTTGTTTTCAATTTGGGTGCTTAGTATTTTTAGAGCTTATATGGCTTCAATGAACTGCAAGTAAATTTTTTTTTTTTTTTTTGTTGAGAATGATAGTTATGCCTACTAACATTGGGCACGCAGCTTCACTAAAATTTGGTTTTTGTTTTCAATTTGGGTGCTTAGTATTTTTAGAGCTTATATGGCTTCAATGAACTGCAAGTAAATTTTTTTTTTTTTTTTTGTTGAGAATGATAGTTATGCCTACTAACATTGGGCACGCAGCTTCACTAAAATTTGGTTTTTGTTTTCAATTTGGGTGCTTAGTATTTTTAGAGCTTATATGGCTTCAATGAACTGCAAGTAAATTTTTTTTTTTTTTTTTGTTGAGAATGATAGTTATGCCTACTAACATTGGGCACGCAGCTTCACTAAAATTTGGTTTTTGTTTTCAATTTGGGTGCTTAGTATTTTTAGAGCTTATATGGCTTCAATGAACTGCAAGTAAATTTTTTTTTTTTTTTTTGTTGAGAATGATAGTTATGCCTACTAACATTGGGCACGCAGCTTCACTAAAATTTGGTTTTTGTTTTCAATTTGGGTGCTTAGTATTTTTAGAGCTTATATGGCTTCAATGAACTGCAAGTAAATTTTTTTTTTTTTTTTTGTTGAGAATGATAGTTATGCCTACTAACATTGGGCACGCAGCTTCACTAAAATTTGGTTTTTGTTTTCAATTTGGGTGCTTAGTATTTTTAGAGCTTATATGGCTTCAATGAACTGCAAGTAAATTTTTTTTTTTTTTTTTGTTGAGAATGATAGTTATGCCTACTAACATTGGGCACGCAGCTTCACTAAAATTTGGTTTTTGTTTTCAATTTGGGTGCTTAGTATTTTTAGAGCTTATATGGCTTCAATGAACTGCAAGTAAATTGTTTTTTTTTTTTTTTTTGAGAATGATAGTTATGCCTACTAACATTGGGCACGCAGCTTCACTAAAATTTGGTTTTTGTTTTCAATTTGGGTGCTTAGTATTTTTAGAGCTTATATGGCTTCAATGAACTGCAAGTAAATTTTTTTTTTTTTTTTTGAACTTTTTGTTCAGGGTAATGTAACAAAAGTATCGTTACGGGATGAACAACGAGGTTTTTGAAGCGCAGGTATTGGGTGAGAAGTTATCCAAGCTCAACAATTCTCAGCAGAGCATTGAGTGTATCCTTTCTCTAATCGTTATCTTTTATTTATTTCATTTTCTTTGTTTGAAAATATTTCGTTGCCCTGTCTATCATACTGCTGTCCTTCACAGTTTTTGTTCGGAGATTTTTTCCCTTTTATATAGTTTTGAACCCTTTGTGTTTTTTTTTTATTTTTCCTTTTTTTTCTTTGTGTGTGTGTGTGTGTGTGTTTATTGTCATGGACGTCAAAAGCAAAAAGAAAAGAAAAGAAAGGAGAAACAAAGTGGCGACTTTTGTCATTTACTAGTAATGAATGTACGAATTCACGTTGTGCCACTTACGATATTGGAAGAAACTGGATATGCTACGAGTGTGGTGATTTTCTGTTAAAACTTGAAATTTTTATTAAATTTAATTTATTTTAATCTAGGTATTGAGGTCCCACTCCTTGCTCAAGGTCTGTCCCCTCTGATCCTTGGGAGGCTTGGAGGCCTCAAGGTTAGCTTCAAGAGGCAAGGGGTTTCAAGCTGTTATCAACTTGAGGGCTTGACTCAGGACCTTGGAAGGTAGCTTAGTAAAACCTTAACAAGTCAGCATTGTTGTCCAGAGTTGGTTCCAACTTACATTTTAGGTTTCTTTATTGCTTTAATGACATGTGGATCAGGATTTGGCATGGGCTCCTAACCTCAAGAAAGCCGGCGATAACACCCAACTTAGGTCCAATTTACCTTTTACAAGGTATGGAACATCATTAAAGATGAGGTGCTTAGGGTGTTCCATGACTTTCTGAAAGCAACATTCTGAACGGTTGTATCAATGAAACCTATATGTGCCATGTTTCCAATAAAGCTCATGTTACCAAATAAAGCTCGTGTTACCAAAGTTGTTGATTTCAGACCAATAAATTTGATCACCATTCTATATGAGCTTATAGCTAAAGTCTTAGCTAAGAGACTTAAGAAGGTCTCCATGAAACTATTAATGGTAGCCTATTGGCCTTGATTGCATGTTGGAAAATTCTCGACCCAATTTTGGTTGCCAACGAATTACTTGATGATTTTTTCATTAACAAGAAGGATGAGTGGGTCTTCAAAATTGATTTTGAGATGACTTACAATATGGTTGATTGAGATTGTCTACTTGAGGTGCTAAAGCAAAAAGGCATTGGAACTTGTTGGATTGGTTGGATTAAAGCTTGTGTTACCAGTACCTTTTCTCTTTATTGATTAATGGTCGACTGAGCGGTCATATTTGTGCTACTAGGGAGTTAAGGCAAGGCCATCCGCTTGTTCCTTTCCTGTCTGTCCTGACGACACGTTGCTTTTCTCTACCCTTGACTATTCTATGCTTAATAACTTGAAGAACGTGGGTCCAATTTGAAGATTAATCTCTCGTAATGTCTCTTGGCGCTAGAGTGGGTTTATGCTGCTGGCGTTTGGCCATTTGAGTATCTGGGGATGTCCCTTGGTGGTAATCCAAAAAAAGTCTTCTTTTTGGCTGCCAGTTGTGGATAAAATTGATAGAAATTTGGATCGTAGGAAAAACCTTACTTTGTCGAGAAGAGGCAGAATTATGTCGGCCAAAACATTTTGTCATGTATCTATACTAAATTTTATCTTTTCCCAGTAGGGTTCCCAATTCGTAGGAGGAATTGATTAGATAACAAAAAAGATACCTAAGAAGTTCAATCAATTTACAAAAAATAACAAAAAAAGATCAAGCGGTGGTTATTCTAAAATAGGGCTAACTGTGAGTGGTTGCATTGGCCAAAGAAAAAATTGCAAGCTGGCTAACTCTTTGATAACCAACACCACAGGGTGAGTTTTATTCTTTTTCCTTACTTTACTTTTGTTTGGGGTGAGGCATAAGATCCAAAATAAATCATAAAATATAAAACCTGATGTTGTAGGATTATGTTAATCTTGGGTAATTTTTTGGTTAATCCCTTTTTACCATCTTTTTGTGTCAATTCTTTATAAATTTAGAATCTCCCTCTGGTTTATTCTATTACTTGATTGTAGTAAAGATACTTGGTTTAATTTTGGGAGAAAACTCTCCTTTTATCTCTTAGGCTACACCATATATAGTTATAATGGTTTGAGCTACAATATCAGGGATCTTTTTATGAAACAATCTTTCGCAATCAGAGTTCCCCATGAAGAAAAGGCAATTTATAGTATTTATTCTCATTGCAGATAAAGTTCTTCATGATAGGAGGAGGCGAAGGAGAAGGGGGGACTTCGTTTTTTAAGCATAGATAGGCTGATGATTTTGTGTTTGAGATTATTTTTTATTTTATTTTTATTTTTTGCATTGCATGACTTCTAAATACACTCGATGATTTATGCCTCTTATGGTCGCTCATTTTCATTGGCTTGTCTGGCAACTTCGGATTGAGTAGTTGTTGCCTTTTATTCCTTTTCATTTTTTGGCAATAAATTTACTGGGTTAAAAGACATTTCGGATGGGATAGTTCTTGTCTTTAGATGGAGCCCTCTTTGAAGACTTTTTTTATATTTTATTTTTGTTGGGCACATACTAAATGAGGAGCGGTTCTTATACTGTATGCTCTTGGGAGAATGTTTTATACTTAAGTAATTTCTGTTAATTGGGTGCAATTGTTATGAATTTGTTTACCGTTGATATCGAATTAGCTTTATCAAGATGGTGCATTTCCCACCGGAAAAGGGCCAAGCAGATTGTTGAAACTTGGGATAAATTATTCAACTCATCTCAGCAAGAGCAGCGTGTTTCATTTCTGTATTTGGCAAATGACATTTTGCAAAACAGCAGGCGCAAGGGAAGTGAATTTGTGAATGAATTCTGGAAAGTTCTTCCTGGTGCTCTCAAGTATGTCTACGATCAAGGCGATGAAAATGGAAAGAAAGCTGCTGCTAGACTTGTATGTCCTCCTCTTTATAGTTGTGTAGAAAAAAAATGGTGGCATTAAATCTTTTTGGCTTTTTATATCTGGCATGCTAGTTGACTCTGGGAATATGTTGCTCAAAAGCATAAAATTTTGCATCGTGGGTATCTGACTTTTAAATTCTTCTCCTCCTTTACTTCTTCAAAAAAATAAAAAATAAATAAATAAAATAAAGAGGAAAAGGTGAAGAAGAAAAACAGAAAAAGGAGGATGGATTCAATTCATCCATTTCGACAAGTTTGTATCACATTTCTAGTAAGGCTTCTCATAGACTGGCATTGGTAATAAAACTCTCATTTCTACTTAAGCAGTCTTTTGATTATGGTGTTTTGTGAGTACTGTGGGTGCACCATTGATGTAATTCTTAAAGCTTGTATATTGGTTAGGAATGATCCAGTAAATTCTAGATATGTGGGTCTAATACTTCAGTTTGAAGCGTAATATGTGGGCCTTTTTCCTTCCCCTTTTGTCCTCCCATTCCTAGACCTAAGTTTAGTTTAGTTTTTTTTTTATTCTTATTTTATTTTTAACCAATTATAATGATAATTGTTCTTTTACAATAAATAAGGAATTTAGGAACTATGAATCTTGTAAGGGATAGATGAATTTTCTTGATTTGATCTTATGACAAATATAGCTATTAGTGAGAGAGGAAAGGAAAATGAGCTGAGGTTTCATACAAAAACTTGTCGTTAAAAAAGCTTATAATTTATTGGTTATGGTTTTATTAATTCTATCATTGTCGTAAGTATTTTAGAGAAAATTTGAGATGATAAGCCTCCGGCATTCTTTTTATTTCGTATCTTATATTTTTGTTTATGTAAGACCAAAGAAAAATTTGTCACTTGAAGTTGATTGACACAAGATTTGATTTCCAGTTCTCTTTCTTATACCAGTAGATGTTCCAAGTAAATTGATCATGTGACACTTGTTGATAGTGGATAATTTAGTAGGTTTGTATCATCCTAATCAGCCTTAGTGATGATACTATACAGTAGTTGATATTGGAAATTTCAGTAGGTATGTGATATCTTAGTAAGTCTTTGGGAAGATTTTATATTTACAAGATCCATAAGAGATCCCTTATTTTGAATTCATAAGCTAATTTTAGTTCAGATATACATACATTCGCAAGCTCTTGAACTTAGCTAGTCTAATCTTGTGTCAGGGAGAATCATATTTGATTTAGGTTGTGTAGATTTCTGTCCACGTGGCAGCTGGAGGATTCTTTTTCCTATTTTAGACAAGAAGCTTCAGCTAGAACATTATCCAATTGTTGTCTATATTCTTTGATAATTAAAACATTTGAAGAGATCCCATTCCTTCCCGGGTTGAGGCAGGGTAGTTTTAACGTTCTGTGAGATTATCTCTTGTTTGAAGATTAATAGAAGCAAGTGTTAGATTTTAGGTCTAAATTGTGACCTTATCAAGTTGAGTGGGTAGGCTGCTTTAGTGAAGCATGAGGTGGGAGACTTTCCTTCTTCCTATTTTGGTCCTCTCTTGGCCATAATCCTAGATGTCTTTTGTTTTGGGACCTAGTAGCATGAAAGAGTTGAAAGAAGCCTGCCAAGTTTTCTGTCGGAAGGTGATTGGTTCACCTTTGTATAGTCAGTCTCAGTAATATTCTGGTCTACTTTATGTCCCTATTTATAGGCCTTGTAATAAGACTTTGGAGAAGCTTATAGGTATATTTTTACGGGAAGAAGTTGATGAGGGGAAAGGTTCCCATCATGTATGGTGGAAGGTGGTGAAGAAGTTGTGGACCTTGGGGCATCAGGCATAGGTAATTTATGGGCACAAAACAAGGTCTTGTAGGCTTAATGGTTGTGTTTCCATCATGAATCTAACACCTTATGGCACGAAGTCAACGCAAGCATGGTACTCACTCGTTTAAGTGGACCTTGGGCAAGGTTAAAGGTACTTTCAGAAACTCTTGGAAAGATGTTTCTCCTAAGCTCCCCTACCTTTGTAAATTGGGTGATGTGAGGAATATCGACTTTTGAGAGGATAAATGATTGGAGTGTAGACTCATTTGCTGTTTGCTTCCCCATTTATTTAAGTTTTCTTTATTCGTGGGGAAAGAGATCTTTGTCTTAAAGACTTTTCTTATAGTTCCTTCTTTAACTGTATGGTAAGCCCATCCCCTTCTAATGGTTTGTCTTTTCCTTCCTGTGAAAGGTGAAAATTCTCGGGAAAGTTAAATTCATGTGGCAGGTCATGGATAGAAGAGTAACACCTTGGATTGGATTTGAGCAGTGTTTTCAAAGTACAAGGTGCACTCCTAGGTGATAAACTTTTTAATTGCCTCAAGGCGAGAGGTGACAAAAAAACACACCTGATTGGAGGAAGGCACACTTAATAAAATAATAAATAAAATATTATTACACATAAGAAAATACTTGATTTTTAAAATGTTAAAATATTAACAAAATAATTCCTGATTAAAAAGAAATTAACTCAAATAATGTCGAGGAAAAGAAAAGATACTTAAAAGGTAAAAAGATAGGGGTCTCATGGATAGAGACATATTTATTATAGAGGAAATATATTGCCAATTGGTAGTTTGGCTAGCGTGCAGCTAACATTTCTTTATTCGTGGCAGCCTACTATTCAATTCTTCTAGGAATGTAAAAATGAATAGCATTTTCATCGACTTTTCTTCTTCACTTCTGAATTTTTCAAACCTTCTTCCTTTTCTTCTTGTTTGGTATAAACCGTTGATAAATGGCCGAACAAAAAGAGAGATTCCACCTTTTATTCTATTTCTTCTTCTTTGACTCTTCTTTTTCTTCAATTCTTCTTCCTTGATTCTTCCTTTCTTTAATTCTTTACTTATGAACTTTGATTCCTCCTCTTAATCAAAAAAATTAAAAGAACAAAATTTTAAAAACATTAAAAATTAAAGTTGAACAATTAGAGAAGGTGATCGTTTGTGTCGCCTCTATGAAATTAAGCATCACTCTCTATGAAATTAAGCCTAAGAGTTTGTGTTAGCCATCGAGGATTTTCATGGATTCTCATGTTTCTCTTCTTTCACGTTGGTGGTGTTTGGAGGTAACTTTTCATTCTGGATCTTGTTTCACGCTAATTCTTGCAGAGATTTTGAGTTTTGTTCTTGGTTGTTCAGGAATCAGTGGTCGGTGCCTTGGGTTTGAAGAGCATTTTTCCCTATTTGGATGGCTATGTNGTTCTGTTTTTTTTTTTTTTTTTTTTTTCAAAAAAATCTTCTATCACTCCCTATAGGAGTTTGTATGCTTGAATTCTTGTGTTCTTTTTTATTTATCAATGAAAAGTATGTTTCTTATTCCAGAAAATTTGTCTCTCTACAAATGTTAGTGCCGTGCATGACATGACAGCGTCATTTCAATTTGCTTTGTTAAATACTGGTTGCATGTTGCTGAGAGTTTGACGTGTTACACGTTTCAATATCTTTTTTATGAGAAAGCGTGTTATAGTTTGATAAAGCAAATGAAAGGTTATCCTTTTTTTTTTTTTTTTTATTTA